CTATTGCAAATTTTTTTTGAAAAAACAAGAGACACACAGGTTAAAGCCCTGGTTGTAAAAAACCGGCCTTGCCCTCAGCTGGGATTTGCACATGGAAGGAATAGGGGTCTGAGGGAGTTCGGTGGGTAGGGGAAGGGTCAGACCCATCTTCTGGGCTAGAGGAAGGCAAGGCTGTTTCTGTGGCTCAGACAGGGAGAGTCAAGCCAGGCAGAAGACTGAAGGCCAGTGGGGCGTCACTGGGGGAGGCTGGTGGGGCCAGAGGGATAGTCTCGTGAGACCCGGTGGGTAGAATGGCCTGGACTCAGTGACTGTAGGCAGTCCAGCGGGTATAGAAGGTATTAGTGGGCCTGAGGCACCAAGTCTACAAAGGGGTGCAGAAAGGGGAGCCAGCTACAGGGCAGACCACCAAGTAGCAGAGACAGGATGCAGGCCCTGCCTTGGCCACATGGACTTATAGAATGTTCTAGAACCTAGGGATGACTTATCCACTGTCTGGGATGCCTCTTTCTTATGTGCAAGGGCACCCATGTGGACTGAGTACCTCAAGGCCCTTAGTGACTGAAAACCACTACACGTTCCTGCCTATCAGGATCTGGGGCGACAGGTGTCCACCTGGGAACATGCCCCGATGAGAATGCTTTCCTGACGAGGCAGATGGTGTCCATAAATGGCTTCTATGCAGTTGTCACTTCCTTCTGACGCCCCACACCCAGGCCAACAAGGGTCCTTCCTCACGGGCCTGAGTGCCAGCTGTCCCACTCAAACCGAGGCTTGGTCTCCTCACATCTGGCCCCATGCTGCCTCTTCTTCTCCCCCACTCCTGGGTAATAAAAAGCAGACTGGCAAAATAGTTGAAATACCTTCTTTAAAAGGACACAGCTTCGTGGGCTCGGTGGCCTATTTTGAGCTAAATGGTTCAAACCTCCAGGCTCAGAGCTGCTCTGGGCATTAACATTTATTCCAGCTGAACAGCTAGGGGACACAGCCACACTGCAATACTGCAGTTCCTTCTTCACTGTGCCAGGATTTGGGGCATACACACAGACACTCAGAATAATTTTCAAGCCTCTGGGGCTAGAACTTGCAA